ACATTATACGAAAAAAAAAAGAATGAACTAACCTCAGCAAGACGGTACTTGTTCACACCTACAATAACATCTTTTCCAGCATCGATACGAGCCTGCTTCTTGGCAGCTGCTTCCTCAATCCTTAGCTTGGTCATGCCCGATGCAACAGCCTTCGCCATTCCACCCAGTTCCATTATTTCATCAATCACCTGAAGTTGAAAGTCTGATCATGATTGAACCAGGAGAGACAGACCCTAAAGGCATAGCCCAGGCAGATGTTATGGGAACGTTTCCTTCGGCCTTAGGATAGACCCTAGAGGACAATCACAGATGTGGCACTCCCGTGCATGGAAATCACCGACAAGGCGCTAGGGCCTTGCAAAGTAAGCTGCAGCAGCTGCAATGTTCCCCTCCGCAGCAGGCTGTTGTCTGGCGCCCTCTCATCTGTTGCGCTCTCTCGCCTCATACTCTCCTCTCCGCGCTTAGTCTCTCATTGCCTTAGCACAGCCGATTAGGAAGGTGAGCCCTTAACCTAAGCGTTTTTGACGGATTCTTTTCCTTTTTTCTTTACTGCCGGCCCATTTGCACCAGCACATTCGTATTCTTGTGCAGAAACCGCAACAGTTTGATCCTGGGCATGCTTTTAAAACGTTTTTCTCAAAAAGTTCCCGTCTGGATGCCAGAAAAGCAGACGCTAGATCGAAGCACGAAGCGAGCCATGAACTTTTGCGGTACGAAGAAAGCCTCTATGAGAGCCGGCGATAGCGACTCTGATATATTTGTAATTGGTAAATTCGTAATACTCTCATACCTTTCCTCGCTTTAGTATAAATTTCATCCGTTAGCGATTCCATCATGTATGAACCTCCCCAAGGATCTGCGACCTGAAAACCGGACATTAATTAGTGTCCCAGAAATTGCCTATGAGACCTCATACAGAGCGATTCTGATGCTGACCTATTGCCGGGGGCATCTTCAGAAGCAGCACTTAATTGAAATGGTGGTACTTACCTTGCAAATTCCGCTCTCTTCTTGGATGATGATTTGTGTGTTTCGAGCAATTCGAGCCGAGAATTTCGTGGGCAAACCGAGGGCCTCGTCGAAGGAGTTGGTGTGCAGCGATTTGCGTTCCACCAAACACTGACGCCATAGCTTCGATAGTGGTTCGAATAATGTTGTTGTATGGATCCTACAATTTACCTATTCAGGTGTTCAAAGCGATACTGGTTAAGGCCGATTTCCCTAACCTGTTCAGTAATAGAGGACCATCCGCTGGTTTGCGAGTGAGTGCGAAGCATCAGTGATTTGTCACTTTTTGGATTAAAGCGCTCCTTGAGGAGATTAGCCCACAGGCGGCGAGCTGCACGCATTTTGGCTATTTCCTCAATTCAAATCAATGAGTGACTGATCGAGAGCACTAGAAAACGCTTTCTCACACCTGAGAAGCGTACATGAGATCGTCCTTACCATATAGAAGTTCATTCCGATGCCCCAGAAGAAGCTGAGACGAGGAGCAAACGCATCAATGGTGAGACCTGCGTTGATTCCCTGTTTCACAGTACTGGATGCCATCGGCGATTGTGAAAGCCATCTCCAGGACTGCATCAGCACCTGCCTCCTACAATAAAGTTGTACTGCTTACGTGGCATTCGCCATCTTTGAAAGGCGCTAGTTTGCCACGAGTGATGATGAGGCTACACAATGAGAGATATGCAGAGAGTTCTGCGGCTCAACTTTTATTAGAATCTTTAATATGCCCTTACGTAGGTGAAAAGTTAGGGTTCTTTGGGAATATCGTTTCAATAGATTCGGGAAGTTCTAAAGCATAATCTGTAATGAGTAGAAAATAACCTTCTGACCTCCACTAACCCTTCATTGCGCTTTCCACTGGCGTGAGTGGGACAGTTTATAAACTAACAACTCAGATGAGGCCGTGTCGAGGAATCTATTGTGTGGACGGGCTAGAGTAGCCCACGTATCAGAATTTACCATTGCCATGGCTCGAAAGTGCGCAACAATGATGGTAGGACCTTACAAGGTGATCTGATTGACGACTAACGTGAGACTACTGGACGACTTGCCTCGCACGCACCCCGTGACACGCAGCGTGGATTACGGAGTAGCGATAATTCAAATACGCCGGGTTGGAGCCATGGAGCAAGCAAATTTCGGACAACTCGTCCGAATTCACCCCTCTCTCACTTCAAGAGGGAAGAGAGAGAACGGTTTTTATGGCCTCATTTTTTTCATTTTCAGTCCGTTAACCACGATTTCATTATGAATGGCTGTTTCCTCACCATTTTGATCTCGGATTGCTGCTTCGAAGCTGAGCCCAAACTTTCTCGCTCCATGGCTCCACTAACTCGCGCGTATTAGCCGCTACGTCGTAATCCACGCTACGTATCACGGGTGTGCGCAAGGTATCTCGTCCATAAGTTCACATTAGTCGCCATCAGATCACTTTGTAAGGCCCTAGCGCCATTGTCGCGCACTTTCGAGCCGCGACAACGGCACATCTGTGATACTCGTGGGCTACTCTATCCCATCCACTTTCCGACATGACCTTATCTAGGTTGTTGCTTCAGGAAAGGAAAATGGAGAGGATACAGCTGGGGAGCGGCGGGAGCAAGCGTACTAGTGGGGGCTGGTAATGCAACGGTACGGGTGATCCGAAATAAGGTACGTAATTTCA